GCTGCGCTCCCCGGGCCTGGGGATCCCGCGCGGGCTGCTGGCAGAAGGCTGGGGAGCGGCTGGCGGCCCCGGGGGATGCTCTCTGGGAAAAGCCCCTGCAGGCACCCCACCCGGCAGGGACCGGCTGCCCGCACACGTGGCACACGCGTGGACGCGGGCTTGGCTCTACCTGGCACCACACCGTTGGTGGCGATCGCACTCATGGAAATGGCCGTCAGCATCGTCTGCGGGAAGAAACACAGTGTGCTCAGGAAGAGCTGGGCAGAGGGACAGGGGAGTGCAGGGGCGAGCTGGGGCCATCCTAGGACATGGGGCCCCCTGGGGCCACGCTGAGCTGTGCCACAGGGCAGGGATGCCCAGGGAGGATGAAGGAATAGATGTATGGGTGGGTGGGCAGGCAGGGCTATGGGCTGGCAGCACAGCTGAGAGAGCTGAGGCCTTGGAGGGGCTGGCAGCACTGGGGGGGGCTCAGGCTGCCCAGGACACTGGATAAGGCCAGCCTCTTCCCAGCCTCTGCCCTGGGGTGACTGTCCTGGTGAGGTGTCTCTCTGCATGGTACCAGAGCAGGGGACCCCCATCACATCCCCCTACATGACAGCTATGATCTGGGTCACCATTTGAGCACCATTCCACTGCTGATTCCTTTGGGAAGCTGAAAGCTTCTCCTTGCTCTAAGTGGGGCAGGAGCTAGGGCAGGGGCAGAAGCTGGGGCAGGAGCAGAGCAAGGCATGGTGGGGCTGGTAGCTAGTGCACCTCTCCAAAGTCCAGCCAGTCAGACTGGTGGCCCCCAGGCCATGGGCAAGGCCAGTAGAGGCTTATCTGGCTCCAAAACTCACGCAGGAGCAGCAGAGGAAGACCATGCAGAATGACTCCATGATGCCAGCGATCCCCACCACCCAGGTGAGACGCAGGAAGAGGATGACTCCAAAGATGTTCTGGAGGCAGGGCAGGTAGACACCCATGAAGGTGCCCATCCGTGGGGCCTGTTGAGGCAACAGCAGTTATCAGGGCTCAGGGGCCTGGCTGGCAGAGGAGCAAGAGGTCCCACTCCTCCCACAAAGCAGCCAGGAGCACAGGGTAAAACTGCCCTGGTTGAGGCCAAGGGGTCCCCATTTCCCAGGGCAGTCTATGGCCTGGCACTACACAGGCATGGGCTGGAGAGGGAGGGAAGGTTACCTCTCTCCTAAGTCCTCACCTGCACCGGCTTCTTCTTGCCTCCATCGTTGTTCTCAGCCTCCTCATGCTCCCGGCTGCCCTGTGGCAGGTTGGTGTAATTGGCCAGTCCACTCAGCAGGGATGAGACCATAGGGCTTGTATCCATCTCCTCCTGTGTAGGGCAGATCCCGAGTCATGAGGACAGTCCCTTGGGACCCCAGCCAACCCCAGAGATCTCACCAGATGCCACCCCACTCTCTGCCCCTTCAGGAACGGCTTTGGCAGTGCAGCAACCTTGGCCTGGGGCTCTGGCATGTCCCAGTGCCCGGGGTGTAGGTTGGGTGCTGTGGAACAGCTTCTTAGCTCAGCTCCCTCCCCCTGCCCCACTGCCTGCATGCCCTACCTCGAAGAGGGCCATGTTCTTGCCATCGTACTCTTTGCCCTTCTCCAGGTCCGTGCTGTTAATGAAGGGGCTGCTCTCCTTGGGATTGCCATCGCCTGCGGAGACACCACTGAGTCAGTCAGGCAGCCCCTGCCCCACTCACACCTGGAGAACACCCACCCCACAGGGTCACGGCTGTGAGGGGTCACAGCTGCCCATGGCTCCTGCAGGAGAGCTGCCAGGGCTGTGGGCACCGTGCCCCAGCCACCAGCATCACCTCCCACACCACACACGGGCAGGGGCTGCCATCCCCAGGAGCCACACGCTGCCCTGCCTGGCCCTGCTGACGTGTGGACCCGCCGGAGCCCATCCACACAGTGAGGCAAGCGGAGCGGATCCGGAGGGAAGCCTCCGGCGGGATGCGCGGCAGCAATAACTCACGGCGCGGGGTGCGTGCGGGTGAGCGCACTCGTGCAGGTGAGCGCACTCGTGCAGGTGAGCGCACTCGTGCAGGTGAGCGCACTCGTGCAGGTGAGCGCACTCGAGAGGGTGAGCGCACTCGTGAGGGTGAGCGCACTCGTGAGGCTGAGCGCTCTCGGGCTGCCTTCCGCGCTGTGTTTGCACGGGTTGCGCGTGGACGGCCTCTCGGCATTAGCGCAGAGGGGATGGTCCCTGCCCAGTGCTTGGGAGTGAGGGGACTGGCCAGGTGTCTGGTCCTCCTCCCAGACACGCACCACAGCAGTGGGGGCCACAGGATGGGAAGGCATCTGGAGGTGACATCACTGAGGACAGGTGATGCTCAGGGCAGTGGAGCCACCCACAGCAGTGCCAGGCCCATTGAACTACCAGGAGAGGGGCCACAGCCACTCTCTGCATTAATGACCTAGTGCAGAAGAAACCTGGAGTTGGCTTAATAGCGATGAAAACAGCTGAGCTGCAGAGCAGCAGAAATAAATCAAGCTGGAAATGGAGCAGCAGTGAGGATGGTACTGCTGGAGCAGCACAGCTCCAAGAGAAGGCCCAGAGCAGAGAGGGATCAGGTCATGAGGGCCAGGAGCTAAAGGACGCAGTCCTGGGCAGAGCAGCTGGGGAAGTACCCATGGCACAGGTAAACCTGGGCAGCCAGGCTAGTCCCCAGCCCTCAGTGGGGGGAGAGAGGCTCCCTGCCACACACCCATCCCACCACCACAGCCCTGCAGCCAGAGCAGTCACACTGCCATTGGCCACCGCACTGCTGGGCAGGCTGCCCGCATGGGCAGGGTCACAGACCATCTCCACACTTTGGGGCTAGGAGAGAACTGCCCCCTCCACCATCCTTCAGCATGGAGCCTATGAGTGCCCCAGGACAGAGGGATGGTGCCCTAGCAGTGTAGTCACCCACTCATGGTGGCAGTCACAAGACAGACCCTGCGACCATTTGTAGCATCCTGGTCCTTTGAAGATCGCCATTCTCCTGCCAGTTGACTCATATTCGGGATCCTGGAAGCCCGTGTGCAGCGGTGATTCACCATCTGCAATTCCCTGGCAGACAGGGTGCTCCTGGCTGACCAGGAGGTGAAGCCTCAAGTGCTACAGGTGACACCGACCTGCGGGCTGGTCCCCAACTCCCACCATCCCTGAGCTCCTCTAACACGGGGCAGCAGGGCAGCAGTGTCCCCAAGGGCACAACCAAACACCAAGGCACAGCCCACAGGCTCCTCCTGTGCAGGAATGGCTATGGCAGTGGCACTGGGACACCCTGGCCCACAGTTCCCTCGAGCTTCACTCCGAGTCCCCTTGGAGACACACCCAGCACCCAGGCTGCACCACTGGCATGTGCCTGCCCTGTATCTCCCACAACAGGTCTCATCATGAACCTCATGCGCTCCTTGCTCTGTGTTTGGTCTAAAGCCCCACTGAACCCTGCTGTCAAACAGCAATGGTGTGGGCTGGCAGCCACCCACTCGCCACAGCTCTTGCCCACGTGCACCAGCTCTGGGGACCACATTGATGTGAAACATCCACCACACTGACAGCCTCCAGGCTGATGCTGCGGCCATCCCCAGTGTGGCAACACAAGGGTGCAAGAGCAGGGGTGGCTGGAGCTCACCTTCCCCTTGGGGCTGGGTGGCAGCGGGGGACACGGGCAGCTTGGCAGGGAGACGTGCTTGAAACGTGGCAAGGCTCTGGGACCCCTCCGGGAGAACGGAGCCCGCGGGGGCCTCGCCTCACCGCCTGGTACCCAGCCGACGACATCACCGTGCAGGTTTCCATGGCAACGGCGAGCCACGGCCGCCTCGGCTCCCGCTCTTATGTAACGGCGCAGGCAGCCGGACGCTGGCCCCACATGGCACCCGCGCCCCGGCCCACCGGAGCCTGATGGATGGCGCGGCCGGAC